CCCTCCCTTGTCCAGTCTGGCCCGTCTGTGGCTGAGCACCGCCTCCCACTCCTCTCCTTAGTGTGGCCCCCCCAGCTCGGGCGCTGCTCCTGGCTCCCTGGCCTCACCTCTAAGTGGGTCGAAGCCCGACTGAAGCCCCTCTCTCCCAGCTGTGGCCTGGCCTCTTGGTCTGGCTGGGACAGTGGCATCAGCCTCCTCACTTGCAAAGGCTTTCAGGGGTACTGTGGTGCCAGGTGGGGCAGGTCTGTCCTTCCCATGGGGCCCTGGGGCTCCCCATCCCAGCACAGCCCCCAGAACTCCTCAAGTGGCCGTGGTGGGGCCTCTGCCCAGGCCAGTCCTTGGGCCAGAGGCTCGCCAAGGCTGCTCGTCCCACGGTGTCCCCTGCCTCCCCATCCCTCTGAGGGCTCTCCCACCTCACCCTGCACCAGCCAGACACATGTGAACTGAGACAGCTGTCTCCCGGAAGCCCCGCCAGGTCTTGTCCCTGAGGAGAGGCCTGTCCCTGGCCTTTCCCCCAGCCCGCTCTGAAAGGAACTTCCTGGATCGAGAGTGAGCTGCCAACCTCCTGGAGACTTCTGCTTTTTAAAAATATATTAAAATGGGAGCCAGAAGGGGACAAAGTGGTTAGGGTGCTGGACTCCCACATGGCAGACCCTGGTTTGAGTCCCAGACCTGACAGCTTGAAACTCATGCCAGGAGCGTGTGCGTGCGTGCCCAAGATCCCAAGAGGAGAAAGGAGAAGGGACTGTGGCATGGTCATGCCCCTGGGGGTGATTTCTCACTTTCTGTCTCTCTCTCTGGCGAGCACATGTGCCCTATAACAAAAACCAAAAGAAAAAGTATGTGTGTACAGTCTTGCACTCCAGGTGGTCGGCACTTGGGCTTTGTCGCTGTATCCCATGAATTTAAAATACTTCATTAAAAACTCACTGTGAGAGGCTAGCAAGTGGCATGGTGGTTAAGGCATTGGACTTCCACAAGTTCAACCACGGTTCAAGTCTTGGACCTGGTGGCTTTTAAAGTATGCCAGGTGCATGTATGTGCGTGCTCAAAATCCCAAGAAGAGGGTGGAGGAGCAAGGAGTGCATGGCGGCCACCCCAGGAGATCTCTGGCCTTCCCTCTCACTGTTTCTGACTTTGGCAAGAAACTAAAAAAAAAGTCCCAACATCGCTGTGAAGACTGGCCCATAGCTTAATAATTAAGGAAGACAGATCCCACGTGGCCGACCACGCAGTTTGAATCCTGACCCTGGTGGCTTGAAAAACGTGCTAGACAGTGTGCATGTGTGTCCTAAATCTTTTTTCTTTTCTTTGAGAGTTTTTGCTATAGGGCACAAGCGCCCACCAGAAAGACAGAGACAGAGAGACAGCGAGAAATCACCCCCCCGGGGGGATGGCCACGCCGCAATCCCTTCTCCTCCATTCTCCTCCCGGGATCTTGGGCAAGCACGCACACGCGCCTGGTGTGAGTTTAAGCCACCGGGTCCGGGACGCGAACCCCGGTCAACTACATGGGAGTCCAGCGACACAGCCATTACGCCAGCTGCTGGCCCTAGTGTGTCCTGAATCGTGACAGGAGGAGGAGTGAGAAAGGTTCATGGGTTCATGGTGTGACCACACCCATCAGGGGTGCTTCCCCTCCATCCCTCCATCTCTCCCTCTCTCTGGGGGTCAGCCACGTAGGATCCGCCTGCCTTAATCACGAGACTATCAGGCCGACCCCCACCTGTTTACCTTTCATCTACACCTCTCTTTATGTTTAAAGTGCATTTCTTTTTTCTAACTTTGTCACAGGGCTCATGAGGGGAGAGAGACACAGAAAGTGAGAAATCACCCTCCATGGGGCATAGTCATGGTGCACTCCTGTTTCTCCTTCCTGTTGGGATTTTAGACATGCATACGCACATAACTGCTGTGTTTCAAGCCACTAGGTCCAAGATTTGAACCATGCAGTTGGCCATATGAGATCTAGCCACCTTCATCACCATGCTACCTCCGGTGTCCCTAAACTGAATTTCTTTTTCTTTTTCTTTTTTTGGAGAGTTTTTTCGCTATAGGGCGCGTGTGCTCGCCAGAAAGACAGAGAGAGACAGAGAGACAAAAAGCGAGAAATCACCCCCCAGGGGGGATGGCCACACTGCAATCCCTTCTCCTCCATTCTCCTCTCGGGATCTTGGGCACACACGCACACGCGCCCGGCGTGAGTTTAAGCCACCGGGTCCGGGACGCGAACCACGGTCGACTACATGGGAGTCCAGCGACATAGCCATTATGCTAACTGCTGGTCCCTAAACTGAGTTTCTTATGGACAACATATAGCTGGGTCTTGTTCTCTGGTCCACTTTTCACAATTTCTCTTTTAATTGGTGCACTAAGACCATTGGCATTCAAAGTGATTATTGATATAGTTGAATTAATGTATATAATTTTTTTTGCCATTTACTCTTGTTCTTTAATCCTGCTTGTATTCCAATCTTTTATTGCTTTGAACATTTTTTAAAGAATATTTTATTTAACTTTACTTATTTTTTAAAATTTTGACCAGAGAGGTACAGAGCAAGAGAGAGAGAGAGAGAGAGTAAGCCACCAGGTCCAGGACTCGAACTACAGTTGGCCATGTGGGAGTCCGGCGCTCTTAACCCTTAACCACCATGCCACTTGCAGGCCCCAGCTTTGAACATTTTATATGATTCCATGTGTTTTCCTCTCTTAGCCTTTTAAAAAAGTCTCTTAAAAGACTTTAGTGTTTGCCTTAGAGTTTGCCATAAACACTAAGAACACTTTCAAACAGCACGATACCATGTCACGGGTAGTACAAGATCAGACTGGACTCCTGGCTACCACAAGAAGACCAGAAGAAGGAGATAGAAGGTGTACAGGCTGGGGAAGGAGAGCTAAGACTTCGTTCATAGTCGATATGATTGTCCATGTGGAAAATCCAAACGAGCCAACAAAAACCAGCCAGCGAACAAAAACTCCTGGAGTGAACAAGCCAGTGCACAAGGGTACAAGGTTAACACGCAGAAGTCGCTGCTTTTCTTCTGCCGGCAGCGAGCAAATGGGGTTTGAAAGCAGGCAAACACACACGCACAAACAAAGCCATTTATAGCAACACTGAGAACCATGAATTATTTCGGAATAACTCTAGTGACATATGTATAAGATCTAGATGGGAATACTATAAAACTGATGTAAAGAAGAGAGATCTAAATAAATGGAGAGATATTCCATGTTCATTGATAAGGAGTCTTAATATTGTTAAGATGGGGACCAGCAGGTGGCGTGGTGGTTAAGGCGCTGGACACTCCCACATGGCCAACCACAGTTTGACTCCCAGACCTGGTGGCTTGCTTTCTCACTTTCTGTCTCTTTCTCTCTCTGTGTCTCTGCTCAAAATTAAATGAATAAATAAATAATTCTTTAAAAATGATAAAAATGCTTGTTTAAAAAAATATGGTTAAGATGTCAGTTCTTGGGGCCAGTGGCTGGTGTGGCAGTGAGGGTGCTGTACTCCCACATGGCTGACTGCAGTTGTAGACCCGGACCTGGTGGCTTGCTTTCACTTTCCCTCTCTATCTGAAAAAAAAAAAAAAAAAAAAAAAAAAAAGAATAAAATTAAATAAAATAAATTTTGGGGGGGAGAGGTTTTTGCTATAGGTGTGTGCACTCGCCAGAAAGACAGAGAGAGACAGACAGAAAGCAAGAAATCACCCCCCAGGGGGGATGGCCACGCCACAATCCCTTCTCCTCCATTCTCCTTTCAGAATATTGGGCACGCACGCACACATGCCCAGTGTGAGTTTAAGCCACCAGGTCCAGGACTTGAACCACGGTCGGCTACATGGGAGTCCAATGACAAAGCCATTATGCCAACTGCTGGTCCCTAAAATAATTCTTAAAAAAAAGAAAAGATCAGTTCTGCCCGATGGTCCAAATCCAACACAGTTCAAGTTAAAGTCCCAGCGAGTCACTTTGTACGTGTCGGTATACCGATGCGAAAGTGCACAGGAGAGGCAGACGGCGCAGAGAGGCTGACGTCGTCCTTGGGGAGAGCGAAGCGGGAGGACAGACGTCACCGGACGGAAGACTTACTGCCACGCCCCGGTGACCGACGGAGAGGTCAGTGGAGCAGGGCAGAGCGCCCAGGAACTGGCCCCTGCACACAGTCGGCCTCTGTTCTGTTCATTTGCCAGAAGGCTTGTGCACTTGCCAGAGAGTAGAGAGAGAAGGAAAGCAAGAAAGTCACCCCTGGGGCATGCCACGTCACAATTCCTTTTCCATTTCTCCCTTCTTTTAGAATTTTTTTAATAAAGATTTTTTTTAGAATTATTTTTATTTCACTTTATTTATTTTAATTTGATCACAGAGGGACAGAATGAGAGAGAGAGGGAAAGTGAGAAGGCAATCCACTAGGTTTGGGACTTGAACCGTGGTCAGCCATGTGGGAGTCCAGCACCCTTAACTACCATGCCGCTTGCCGGCCCCCTCCTTTTGGGATTTTGGACATGCTCACACGTGTGCCCAGTTTTTCTCAATCCACCAGTTCTGGGAGTTGAACTGCAGGGTCAGCCACGTGGAATCCAGCTGTATTAACCACCCGGCCGTGGGCTGACCCTGTCACCTGGTCTCCAGCAAATGACCAGGGGCAGCTTCGTGGGGAAGTGCAGCCTTTCCACAGACAGGGCTGGAGCCACTGCGTGTCTATGTTTTGGAAAAGAACCTCAGTGCACATCTTACACATTTAACGGCAACCACGCCAGGAGGGGTCGTAGATGTCAGTGCAGAGACAGAAGCAAGCCATACCACTGACGTTGCACATGCAACCGCAGGGATCCGTGTGGCCTTGGGCGGCGCCTCAGCCCCGCCGGAAGCACGGTCCACGGAGGAAAGAGCAAGCAAGATGAGCCTTACTGAGGCTTAAAACTTAAAGCATGATTTAATTTTATTTATCATTATTATTAAATTTGCTACAGGGCACATGCGCTCACCAGAGAGACAGAAAGTGAGAAAACAAGCCGTTAGGTCAAACTGAAGTCGGCCACGTGGGAGTCCAGCACGTAACCACCACACTGCCTGCTGCCTAAAACAACGTTTTAAACTGACTGTCGTGTGGCAGAGGGCACACGTGCATGACAAGAGTGGGCAGAGAAGCACCCTGTCGTGCTGACCCCGACCAGCCCCAGCTCCTCTGTGTACACACCTCTGGGTCTTCACGCCAGCCGGGATCTGAACCCACCCTGAGCCATGTGGTTCTCAACACTACAGTTCCGTTCGGCACTGCCTGCAGCACCAGGCTAGGCCAGAAGTTCTGTTTTACAGAAGATGACTGTTAAGAGAATGAAAGGACAACTCACAGGAAAATATCTGTGGGGCACATGTCTGAGAAAGGCCTCGTACATGCACAGAACGCAGGGGACTTCAAAAAGTTCACAGAACAATGAAATTAAAGTACGAGTTTATTTTGTGCAAAAAAAGGGAAACCATGCATAGCCTTTTCATAATATGTATCTTCCACAAACTTTCAAAAGATTTCCCTTG